TATCACATGAGCTCATAAATACTCCCTCATCATTTATCTTAGTGTTCTCAGTTTTAAGGCACTATGGATGGCTTATATTTTATTTCATTTTATTTTCACTTCAATAGCTGCCTAATAAAAAATTCAAGTAATACCTAAAAGCCTGGGATCATCTAGATGCCAAAAGCAATACCAGCATCCCAGGTCCTAGAGGAAGATATACCCATGGCATTAATGATCGGCTTTGTAGGGGGATCCAGTGCTGACTTCTGAAATGGTTTTAGCTCTTTTTCTCAGTGGTTTTTTTTTTTTTTTTTTTTTTTTTTTTTTTTTTTTTCTTTTTGCAGTATGCGGGCCTCTCACTGCCGCGGCCTCTCCCGTCACGGAGCACAGGCTCCGGACGCTCAGGCCCAGCGGCCATGGCTCACGGGCCCAGCCGCTTCGCGGCATGCGGGGTTTTCCCGGACCGGGGCACAAACCCCTGTGCCCTGCATCAGCAGACGGACTCTCAACCACTGTGCCACCAGGGAAGCCCCTTTCTTAGTGATTTTTATTTATTTATTATTTATTTTTTTTGCAGTACGCGGGCCTCTCACTGTTGTGGCCTCTCCCGCTGCGGAGCACAGGCTCCGGACGCACAGGCCCAGCGGCCATGGCTCACGGGCCCAAGCCGCTCACGGGCATGTGGGATCTTCCTGGACCGGGGCACGAACCCGTGTCCCCTGCATCGGCAGGCGGACTCTCAACCACTGCGCCACCAGGGAAGCCCTCTTAGTGATTTTTAAAAAGAAATGATTAGCAAATATCTAGGTCTTAAGGAGCAAAGTACTGTCTTAATGAGCCAAGTATATGAATGAATGAATCCCCTAGGTATGGGACACACAGAATACGTTTTCACATAGCCCAGCATCTGTAGGCAGAGCGCCAGCCTCCTGCTCTAGCTCTGCGGATGGGGCAACTGGGGATGAAGACATGCGTTGATAATAGTGTGCTTGCTAGGAGTTTACCCACAGCCATGAATATAAAACTTTATCTTAAAGAGAGAGACAGATAACCTATTTATGATGGATGTAGTGCTTCATAGGAAAATTTCAGTTTTTATGCTAATCCAGCTAGGAAATCCATCACAAGTAGAATTTTAGACTTTATCAAAGGCAAAATCTTGCATCTTCTCCCAGTGTCTTATTCCCTTCCTTCTCAAGATCTGGAAATTAGCATCTGTTGGTATTTTGTGTTGACTGTGGGATCCGTGTTTTTATGCTGTTCTTAAAAATAAGCCACAATTCTATGTGGAGGAGATAGGGCCATTCAAGCACAACTTCGGTTCAGAGGGAAACAGCTGAATACGATAAACTACCCAATCCCAGAAAGAAATAAGATTCACGAAAAGCTGTCACCCCAGGTAAGGGAGGTCTTGGATTCATGTGAGGAGGCAAAGAGAGAGTTGTACGTCTTTGGAATTCTGTTGGAAACCAGAGGAGGGTGTTCTGGAACAAATACAAGTCCCTGTCACATGGGTCTGTCAGAACATTCAGAACAGGGAGACAGGCCCCGGAATGGGCACTATTTCACGGCTGCAAGTGAGCTCATTTCCTGTAACTTGCAAGTATAGCACCAACCCCAGACTGAGTGATCAAGAAACACTGATTATTGGAAAATCCACGAAGAGGATAAGGACAAAGAATTTCTAAAGCACTAGAATTTCCCAACAGACCTTCCTCATTATTTGGATTTCTTAAGGCTAAACATAGAACATAAACAAAACAGAAGTAGCTGAGGGGAAAAAAAAAAGTTACTTTTATTTTTGCCCTTATTCTAAATAAATTAGATTTTTGTTTGTTCGTTTTGGCCTATTGTCAGTATTGTTCCACTAGAATCTTCCATAATGCTACATCTGTTGTGGAGGAACACACATGCCACCTTACCCACTAATAATCTGTAAGACACTATTTCTCAACTACACAAAGGAACTAAGTTATTTTTTTTATAAGAGTGAGAGCCCTCTTTATTTTTTTAAATTTTTGTTATTTTTTAAAATTTATTTTTGGCTGCATTGGGTCTTTGTTGCTGTGCGTGGACTTTCTTTAGTCGCGGTGAGCAGGGGCTACTCTTTGTTGTGGTACTCGGGCTTCTCATTGCGGTGGCTTCTCCTGTTGTGGAGCATGGGCTCTAGGCATGCAGGCTTCAGTAGTTGCAGCGTGCGGGCTCAGTAGTTGCGACGCATGGGCTCTAGGGTGCACAAGCTTCAGTAGTTACGGCACGTAGGCTTCAGTAGTTGTGGTGCACAGGCTCTAGAGCTCAGGCTCAGTAGTTGTGGTGCACAGGCTTAGTTGCTCTGCGGCATGTGGGATCTTCCCAGACCAGGGATCGAACCCGTGTCCCCTGCATTGGCAGGTGGATTCTTAACCACTGTGCCACCAGGGAAGCCTCTAAGTTATTTTTTTAAAGGAGACTGATCTGGCAATGAAAACCCACCCTCCATGTCTTTACTAAATGGCTTGGCTGTTTAATAAGCCTCATCAAGTTAAACTGAAAAAAAAAAATCAGATTGTGGATAAAAGACCACTAGATCAATTCTGAAGTGTGAGTAGAGTCAGGAAAGACATCTCCCCATGGTGATTCCATACTGGCAGCCAGGGTCAACCTGATATGTAGATTGAGTGGAGCTGTACTTCTTGGAATGAGGTGAGGGACACCAGGCAGGACACCGTTCCCCCAAAATCTCTCCCTTTTGGTCTCTGCTGGGGCCCATAATGTTGGCATTAGTGCACTGGGCTGTGATGCACATTGATTTGATAAACACTTCCTGGATAATGACTATGGCCTATAATCTAGCTGCTAGATGGGGAAGGATCCTTGAAGAATAAACAAGGACCAAAAAATCATAGAAAGAGGAAAAACTTCCATCTGGAGTGACCTGGGAGGATTACATGGTGGGTGAACAGGAATTCTCCAGATAAACATGGGCAGAGAAAATTCTAAGAGAAGAAATTTGCATAAGTGCAGGGGAGGATGGAATAAACACATGTGAAACCAGGTCATGAAAGCCTTGACATCAGGTGATCAAGAAGGGGCTGAATATTCTGGAGCAGGTGGAGACAAGAGTTAAGTGTAAAGAAGGCGACAGATGCAGAGTGGGATGAATGGAGAGGAATCAGAGGTAGGAAGAGCAGTTAAGAGGTAACTGTGAAAATCTACCAGAAAGACAGAGAGGGGCAGGAGGGGGAGAGGGAGAGAGAGAACACTCACACTAGGATGGTGATGAGATGGTTGTGATGATGCAGTGGGATAAGGGATGGCGGGAGGAGGACGTGAACAGCAGAGATGACAAGGTCAGTGTAGACACACCAGGTTGGGGGTGCTGGCGGGACATCCCAGAGAAGATAGACCATCCGACTATGAGATGGAGATAAGGACCCAGAGCCCAGGGGAGCTGATGGTAGAGAGGAGTCAACAGGAGCGGGTGGACAGGAGTCAATGAAATGGGTTCAGGGAGAGGTTGCTTCATCCCAAAGCCTCCCACTTATGGGGTAGATAACCCTAGAAAGAACACATTGAAGCCAGTGCTAGCCATTGGCATAAACTCGCTTACAGCTCCGTAGAGGGTCCTGCCAGTAAGTCCAGGGGCAATGTCATGGGTAGCCTCAAGTACGGAAAGCTGAGTCCAGGACCTAGGCTCCTGCTAAGGGACGGCAGAGATGGCAGGCTGGACTTGGCCATGGATGGTATGTGGGCGCAGTGATGTCCATTAGGGCCTGGGATGGGAGGGTGCAGAGATTCCCCCTACTGAGGTGGGAAAGGCTGCTTCACTGTTCCATCCCGACCAGCCGGTGGGGTGTGCTGGGGCAGGGGAATAGGAAAAACTGTGGGAGTGCAGAGTCCCATCAACCCTGCCTTTCCCCCGCACCTGCGCCCTTCCAGCCTCAAAGGCTCTCTGCTTCTGTCCAAAGAATGGGTGTGAAGCTCTTACACTTGTTCACAAAGAATAGTGAGATCTCAAACTGTAAGATTCCAGGCAGCAGAATATTTGAGCACAGTGCCCTCCACGATGTATCCATTTCAACACGAGAAGCCCTGAATTCCTGTCCCAGCTCCTCTCCCAAACGGTGACTGTCCGTGTCTTACTCCCCTGGGTAGATCTGTCCTGAGTCACTAAGTAACCTTGAACAAAGAGCTTGGTGTCTGTGGCCCTGCGTGTCCTCAGATGTGCTGTGGGAATTCTCTGTCATAGACGAAGGTCAGGTGACATAATGTATGTGAAAGTACCTCACACTGTCATTTTCTATACAAATCCTTGTGATGTATTTGTGTGACATCCCTGTTACCTTACCTACCCCTGAGAACTCAGAAAACAAAACAATCCCATGTTATGTGAACTTCCTTTTGGAACAAGAAGGGATGAACAGGTATTTGCCTTCTCCCAACCTTTTTTAGGGGGAACTGCTTTTTCCTCCTTTGGTGGAAAATGGTGTCTTTTTTTTCTCCCTTGCCAATTAGATGGTCCACCTCTTTTTTTCTCTAGTCCACCTTCCCTATTTGCATCATTAGACTCTCTGGAAAAAATGAAACTGATCCTCCTTAGCTCTGGCCCCGAGAGCACTTCTCACGGAGACCGCCCGTCCCTGCACGCTGGTCCACGGTGAGGCTGAGCCCTGAGGACAGCAGTGTGTCCGCAGCACCGCTGAAGGGGACAGGAGTGTCAGTGGAGGAGCACAGAGGAGAGGCCGGGGCGGTGTGGTGCAGGAATTACAGGATAGGGCCCGCAACGCTCGATGGCATCTTTTTGGTCTAATTCTAAACCCCTTCTCCCCCACCTTACATGGTGCTTGTCATATAACAGATAGTTCATAAATATCCATCGCATCAGTGGAAAGAGGAGGAAATAAGAGGGAGGGCATCCCGATCTCAACCCGCACACGATCTCAACCCGCACGGCCTTCCTGCTGGTGACAAAATGGTCCCAGATGACCAGAGGCATCCAGGATTTCACTTTTATGCCTTTTGTCTTTTTTTTCTTTTAGGTCCTCCTGGCCCCAGGGGTCCGAAAGGTGACAGAGGACAGCAGGGACCCCCGGGTCCCACTGGCAACAAGGGACAGAAAGGAGAGAAGGGGGAGCCTGGCCCTCCCGGCCCGGCCGGTGAGAGGGGCCCGATCGGGCCGGTCGGCCCCCCTGGAGAGCGTGGCGGCAAAGGCTCCAAAGGCCTGCAGGGCCCCAAAGGCTCCCGCGGGTCCCCTGGGAAGCCTGGCCCTCAGGGCCCCAGTGGGGACCCAGGCCCCCCCGGCCCACCAGGCAAGGACGGACTCCCGGGCCCCCAGGGCCCCCCCGGCTTCCAGGGACTGCAGGGCACTGTGGGGGAGCCTGGGGTGCCCGGGCCGAGGGGTCTGCCGGGCTTGCCTGGGGTGCCGGGCATGCCGGGTCCCAAGGGCCCCCCCGGTCCCCCGGGCCCATCAGGGGCAGCGGTGCCCCTGGCCCTGCAGAGCGAGCCAACTGCAGCACCCGAGGCCAACGGTAAGTCTGAGCCCCTCGTACCCGTGGATGGGTGCCCCCCCTATGTGCGCCCCCCAACACCGCATTTTATTGGCAGTGAAGGCATCGCACAGGGTGGCCTCCGCACCCGCTGCTCCCATGGCCCCGTGCCAGGCGGTGGTGCTCAGGCACTTGTGTTTCTCTCTAAACAGCACCAGGCCCTCCAGCACTTGTTTATAATTAGCTGAGTCAGGTCCTCGGGGACAAACTGGTCCCAAACATTTCCTTCAGGAAAGTCCGAGGCTGGCCACCCCGGACTCGTCCCTGTCCTCATTTTATGCCCTTCACCTGGGGATGGATGACCCGTGGTTAACGTGCAGATGGAACTTTCTGTTCCTGAAGCCAGATCGTATTTCTTTTTGAGAAGATGTTATGGCGCCTTCTCGTCCTTTGATAGTGAAACCTTTGGTCAAACCCTGAGTGTTGGGTCTGCAACCTTTGACCCACACCCGATTCCACTTGGTTTCCTTCAGTCCAGCTCAGTCATGTTTGTTCCGTGAGCCTAGTTCTAGTTCTGGGCTCTCCCAGCCACTTGTTAACAGGTTCCACGTGATTCCAGACTGACGTTGAACATCTGTGCCTGTGCTGCTTTTTGTTGCTGTGTCTGTTATTTCTGTCATTGTAAAGACGAATCCAGACAGAGGAACAAAGGCTCAGGGTAGATATTTTCCAGATTATGTAGTTTTAACTACTGTGTATTCTGCAGGCCACTTTCCTGGACTAGTCTTTGCTCCCAGCATGTCCCCAAACGTCAGTCACTGGCTTGGCACATGGACGTGGGGAAGCAGGGGCCATAGATGTGCCTCTTAAACACAGCTGAGGAAAGGCATAGTGCGCTCTCTCTCTCTCTCTCTCTCTCTCTCTCCC